AAATAGATAAAATTTAGTTTAGTTTGTTATTTCAAAAAATACTAGACTTCAATAGCTAAACAAAAGTTACAATCAATGCAATTATTAACTTATTTTTAGAGATATTTTGTGCGTAAGAATTCTTGAAACAGAAGTAGAGATGAGATTCTGATATAAAAACTATAAACAACTGGTGTTTGTTGTGATGGCTCTCCTGTGTGTGTGTTTGGTGTGCGGCCAGTGCTCCGGGGAATACAATATTAGTGTATACAGTAGTGAACTAACAAATGAAAATAAACTCTGGGATGCCGTCTCAAGTCTTCGGCTTTTTTGAATTATCCCTTAACCCAACAATTTTTCATTATATATGTTATGCATTATATTATCTGTTGTTGAGTTATACAATAGCCATACCAGTCAGTGATCAGTGAGTCGTGCATTCATTTAAACGATAATATAAAAAACATTTCTTATCTCTACAATTGGTCCGGGCTTTCACTTAGGTTTGAGTAGCACTACTCAGCTACCTGTGCTATGCTGTGTGTGTGTGTTGGCTGATGTGTTGGTTGTATGTATTGTTTATTGTGTGCGCGTGCATTATATTGAATGTGATCCATGAAATTTCAATAAGTTTCATCCATCACACTCTCCATCACTCACTTTACTCATAATAAACTATATATAAATGCAATTCTCATAATATAGATTAATGTGTAACACATATAATAAAACACTACACATCACACTAAACAATATCCAAATGCCATAAGCCATATGTCAGTCAGTCAGAGGAGTTTAGTAGCAAATAATGAAAAAATATGAAACATTTATTGTTTGGTATAAGAGACCACAGGGCTACTACTACTACTACTACTAYYACTACTATCACTACCACTACTACCTGTACAATAAACTAGTGTATTACAACAGTAGGCAAGGCATAGCACCTCTCAGACTAACTCATCTGATATTATGACTTATATTAAGTGAGAAATGCTTTTATGTTTGATTGAGTCCCGACTTTGCTTTTGAGTTCCCAATTATTAGTCTGATGTAATAAACTAATGGTTTACTCATTTAGTTTTTTGTTATTTGTTTATAATGCAAGTCTCTAATTGTATTTTGCAATTGTTTTGCTATTGTTTTGTATGTAACGTATGTTCAGAGAAAAAATTGTTAAAGAAATGAATGAATTTTCGTTACTTTTACACAATAAGATAGCAATGGAGTGCTATAGCAGAACAAATAGTGGCATTGCGTGGATCAGCACCGGTAGCTATATTTTGTATGACTATCGTTTGGATGGACCATTTTTTATTTGTTACTAACACAAACTAACTTAATATATTAATAATAAACTGCATTATTATGTATTTATAAACTAGAGTTGTTTTGTTTGTCTCAATGTTAAACATTTGCAGATTGCACTTGTGTTCAGCACTTATATCGAGCACAAGGTTAGCATTGGAAGTGAGTGTCTAAAAAACAGACACCGGTGCCAACCGTGTCCACTGTTTGACTATCGAAAATTGGTGGCACTGGTGATGGCAGCTGAGTATGAAAGACACAAACGAGTGAATGATACGAAAATTACTGTCAGATCTACAACACAACAGCACAAACACCTGGGAGTCTGACTTAAGCGAGATGTACACTAAATACACTAATAAACAGAGATCTCAATAACAAATACTAACAAATAATAATCCTTACATTTTGTGCCACTCTCGACACCAGAAGCTCTCTATATCGTTATGCCTTCGAGATCACTGTACCTCAGATGGGACAGGCATTCAACAGCACATAACAATTTATTATATAAATAACTTTACCTGAATATAAATTACAGTATATTTTCTCTTAAAAATAATTATAGTTAATATACTGTTTGTTAGACTCTCTCTCTTTGACCGCATATGACTTGAAAGCTTCCTATGCTTACGGAGAACTTTCATTAAAAGGTCCAAAACTGTATGTATATATGCATCAAACAAATGCATTAAAATTTTAAAATATAGTTAGACTTCTGGTTAGGTTTGGCCATAGAGTAAAATCACCTGCACTTTACACGTACAACATTAGTGTTATTATTGAACACAACAGCACAGGTATATGAATATGCATTTTAAATACGTGATACACGTAAAAATACCTCAGGGATGAGTTACTGTCAGCTCTAGTCTATGAGTGAGTGAGTAAGTGAGCGTGTGTGTGTGTGTATGTGTGTGTGTGTGTGTATGTATGTATGTGTGTGTGTATGTATGTRTGTGTGTGTGTGTGTATGTGTGTGACAATTATATATTTTAATGAAGAACATGTGTCTCTCAAAAGAATTGGTATAACAAATAATATAATGAAATTTATGAGTCGTTTAATATTATATACAMTGTCTTTCCTTTACTATAAATTTATAGTGATTTGCATAAACCATTTGCTGCGAAATTAGTTGAGACACACGGGAACAGTAAAACCTATCTAACCATTGAAGCGAAGCAACAAACATATTGATTAATAAAAATGGTTTATCTCCCCAAACCTTTATGATAATCACTATTATCTTATAGTTTGGCCATCAATTTTGTTATTGGTTACCAATAAATTTTGTATATATTCTGTATTTTAAAACATATTAACGTATATAAAGTTAATATTAAGGTATTAACGCTTAGAGCAATCTATGGCATAGAAATGTCTAATAATCTCATTAATTATTAAACGTTATTACAATACTTTCTAATTGTGTGTTAAAAGTTTTCCTAAGTTTTCAGATTCAAAATAATCGGAGCCTTTTGTTATTATAAATATATCATTAATTTAATAATCATTTTCTAACCGAAGGCTTTGTGTGTGTGTGTGTGTGTGTGTGTGTGTGTGTGTGTGTGTGTGTGTGTGTGTGTGTGTGTGTGTGTGTGTGTTATATTTTAACAAAATATTGCAATACATAAATAAYAAGAATAAGTCAATTTTGAGAAAAAAAATTTAATTTATCAGTAAATAACAAACTAAAAATTATATAGTTGTCATTATCGAAGCAAAAMTATTTTTTTAATAAAGTGAATCTTYAAAAACGTTGTCTTTAAAGAGCATTAAAACAAAATTTTATTCAACCATATGAAACATTTGAGTTTTAACTGAAAACACTGAAATTTAGTCAATAAAAAATTACAGTCAATATTGAGAATGTTTTTATTGTCTCAAAAAATAGTTTATAAATTATAAAATAATTAAAAAATGCAAATTCTTTTATTTAAATTGAATCAAAAATTAAAGACATATACTTTATTACAGTATTTACTTTATTAGTATCATCTTTCATAGTCACAAACCCATCAGTTTAAATATGCAATATTTTGTCACAGATTATTAAGTGTTAAGTAAGTATTTATTGTTATAAAATTTATATTAGACTAAATATTGTTTTTAATTTAATATGATTAAATTATTATAGTCTTTTAATAAGAATAAAAAGTAAAATTGAGTTGAATAATACAAATATAYTKCATATAATATAATAACAATTTAATTTGTTGAAGTTTTTTAGTATTAATTGTAAGATAATTTTTTTGTATACTCTAATTAATATATAAATATTTAGTGTTTTTGCAATTTAAAAATTTTATTTAATATGCAGATTTTAATACATAATCTATATTAAACTTATTAGTTAATTTAGTTTATGAGTGAATAAGTGAGTAATTAAATGAGTAAATGAGAGAAAAGTAAGAGAGAAAGTGAAAGTTAGAGAGAGAGAGAGAGAGAGAGAGAGAGAGAGAGAGAGAGAGAGAGAGAGAGAGAGAGATTGAAGAGCTTTTTACTGAAAATGCTTAGATATCTTATTCTTAGATAAATTTATTGCATATCTCCTCTCTCTCTCTCTCTCTCTCTCTCTCTCTCTCTCTCTCTCTCTCTCTCTCTCTCTCTCTCTCTCTCTCTCTCATCTCTCTCTCTCTCTCTCTCTCTCTCTCTCTATGTTTTTGAGATCAATCTGTCTAATCGTTTATCGGTCGTCGCCACTAAAATCACCTGCAATTGCAACCAAACACACAATTAGTTTTTATTTTAAAACTAATCTTCATTTATTTTACTGTAAACAATATTTATTTTTTAACTGCAACTAAAAATTGGTTTCACTTCAATATCAGTCAATAATTATTATTGTTTTAAAGTTTTAATTATTTTTCTATCAAACAATGAATGGCTTTCATTAATTCATGGCATACATTACATGCGGACAATATTAACAATACGTCTTAGTTTACATAGAAATTTAGTTAATAAGTTATACTGTATTTTGTTTCAATGACATTGTCTTTGTTATTATTAATCAAATATTATTTAGATTAATAATATTGTGTCACCTGTTAGGGCACAAACACGTGAAGTAAAGTTGTTTGTCTATATATTAGTCCCATTGTATAGTCATTCACTTTATTCATAGCTAACTATAATACTAAACTCAATAATAGTGACAAATGGCAAGCGATTAAACTAATATTAATCATTAAGGATTGTATGATTGTATAGACATAACATGCATACATTAATAAAGCAAAAATATTGTAATATAAGGGAATGGGTAGTTAGTTCACTGTTATGCCTTTATTTCTATGTAAACGACACGAGATATGGGTGTTCTTATAGTCTATTATTATTAGGGAAGAGATAGATAGATAGACAGTGAGAGAGAGAGAGAGAGAGAGAGAGAGAGAGAGAGAGAGAGAGAGAGAGAGAGAGAGAGAGAGAGAGAGAGAAGTAGGAAAAGTTTTATACATAAGGTGTAGACATATCTTCCAAGGGTGGGGAACACAGAGCACACATATTGTCCTCAAAGAGTAGAGAGTATGAGCCGCATGGGCACAGTTAGTATGTAATGCATTACACAATTACTAACACTAGCACAACCTCTCGATTCACATCTCCATACCGACCGCTCATACAACCAATGAAGTACTTAAGGTGTGTTTGTTTGCCTGTGCTCTGTATTTGCCGATTCCTTATGCTTCAAGATTTCGTGCAGTGCTTTAAAAATTGTCTCACAAGACATATGTGTTTAGTATTGCTCTGAAAATCTTTCGAGAGATTCAATACAACGTCTCTGATCTACCAGTGCTTCATATATTTAGTTGAATTGTTTCCCGTTTTATTGTTTAGTATCACATGTGAAAAATACCGGTGATGGAACCGTTCAATTTATATCCATCATTGTTAGCATCGACACCATTGTTGCGATCCCTACATCACCATCAGTTTATATGCCGCCAAGCAGTGCAAGGTAATTAGTTTATTGTTAATTAAGTGACCACTAACAGGAATGTCCTATTTTACATGATATCACATAACAGACAGTCCACTGGATCTGTCCATGTCATTAGCGTCGGCATCTCCAACCTCTGCATCATCGTTGTCATCGTCGTCATCACTGTCCAACTCATCGCAAAATGAAAATCAAAAGCCATCGCCAATAAACCATTTAATACTTGATTTGTCTGCAAAATCTAAGTCATCGTTATCGCCATCTAATTCAATATTACACAATAAGATTAATAGCTTAAAATCTAAACTTCTTGCCGCCAAAAGCAACGGCAACCACGATATACCTATAAATTTCAACTCATCCGCAACTACCGAACCAATCATTAAATCTCCCGTAACCACAGTTATGGTTAAGAAACCACGGGAGAGGACAATGTTGCCGTGCGAATACTGCGGTAAAGCTTTTGACAGACCATCTCTTTTAAGGAGACATCTAAGGACACACACCGGTGAAAAGGTATTAGATTTTTATAAATCATATAATAATAAAAACATCACTTTATTACAACACTATATAATTATTTGTATTTAAATGATGCGATTGTATTGTCTATTAGCCTCATGTTTGCGATGTTTGTGGCAAAGGGTTCAGCACATCCAGCTCTTTGAATACACACAGACGGATACATTCAGGAGAAAAACCACATCAATGTAAGTCATAAAAAGTCATTTTTTAATGGGACACTTATTTTCATTACATTTCTTAAATTAACTATAACTTACTTTCACTTACTGTCTCAATCTTATCTTTTAATAAAATGTTAAAATCTTAAAACATAAAAAATTATATTTTATACATAGAATGTATATGAGATATATGTATGAATATAAACAATGACTTTAAGAATCAAAATGCTTACAATAGTTAGTAATAATAGTAATAATAATAACATTTGTGGGAATTCATTACTTTTCAATTATACAGTAATATAAACAGTGAGACATCAGATAGCATGTCATATCCCATATCACCCATAAGCCCACAATGTACTATACTTTATTATACCTGCACCTTACTTTTATCTAATACATACCTGCATACCTATGCATATCTCATATATACATTCATTAAATATACTATTTGTGTTTGTTATATGTTAAATGAATGCTACCCTTATTTTTTAATGTTTTCACTTTAAAATTTCTATATTGTAATTATTTTGATTGTATAATAAGACATTTAAMAAACAGTTAATATAATATATATGTTTTTAGGTCCAATTTGTGGCAAACGTTTTACTGCCAGCTCTAACCTTTATTATCATCGTATGACACATAATAAGGTAAAAACAAATCATTTATTTAACTAAATTTTAATATATATTAATTTTGCTTTGCGTTAAAAATATTCACTAAAAAGGTGTTTAAAAATCAGAGACCAGAACTCTATTACAATTAGTTTTGTTAAACTGTAGTCATAGTTGTGGTTGTTTTCACATAAAACAGTGAAACAACACTTTAAATTACATTTACATTTGAGAGTTAATTTGTTGTTTATGTAAGCGTGCAATACATGCGATCAAACGCCAACACAATACCTGAGTTAATATCATACCTCACCTCTCATGTTGACAACAATTGCAAACAATAATACCCCGCTATCCCTATACTCGACTATAATTTATATGTATATTATTGCAATATATACATACAGTATCACACAATACATTGAATACATTTCAACGCTCTATGAATTGTTTTTATTATATGACTGACTGACTTACTGAATGGTGTTTCACAATGAAAATCATGAACTAATACCACGGAATTGCCATATCTATCATTAAACAATATAATTGCTAATCTCTAAAGTTTCCTTCAAATCCATTATATTTTATCAACAATCTTACGATTGAAATATGTTTTATAAATATACATGTGATGTATGCGATATAACCACATAAAGTATACTGTACTGTATATAATTTTTTTCATTATAATAATAATACTATTTAATACATAGCTTTTACTATCTCACATTTATGCTTATATATATACTGTATATACATATATATAATATATATATATATATATATTGAAATTAGGTTTGAATTTAAGAAGCTTATTTTGCTTTTTCCAGTTATTTAAGTTATTTTATCGAAAAAATCAAATAAAAAATTGCTATACAATTGATACTAACAATTTGATACATGTTATTATAAAAATATAACATTTTTTATCAGCACAATAATTGTATATATTTTTGTAAAAAAATAAGTATAAAGTGTTGAATCATTTGAATGATTTGGAAAACAATATGTTTTGTGTAATAATATGCTATTTCTTTAATATCGAGAAAAGCGTTGGCAGACTGTCTGTCGCATGAATTGAAAAGACATTGAAAGCCGAGTGCAAGGCATGGATGCGCTGACAAACATAAACATAAATACAAACACAAATACAATGGCAATTATATGTTATTTCATAATTTTAATAAATAAAAAACATATACACCATTGTGTGCCATATAATATAAATAAAATTATTTGACAATTTTGTTCAACAATTGTCACCTGTATATCCAGAAATGGTTATTCCCTTTTTTAATCAACAGTAAATTACAGTACATAAGCACATAGTTTTAAAGTATGACTGTAATAGACGCTAAGCTTAGGAACGTGTTTTGTGATTAATGTTTTGTCTATAAATGCTATATATGTCTCTACCTTTAATGTATTTATTTACATCTACTTCATCAACACTTGTGATACTATACTCTAAAAAATGAATTTAGTATTAAACAAATAATATTATAAAAAGTTATATTTTATAAAATACACAAAAACAGTTCAGAGAGAGAGAGAGAGAGAGAGAGAGAGAGAGAGCAATGTTTAGTTGGGTTTGACATAAGTGTTTGAATTTTTTAATAAAAAGCTATGGGTGTGGTGTCGATGCTTTGCATATTCATATAAAGTGTGTATATTTATGTTTGTGTTTTATTATTAGATCTTTATTTTATTTTGTAATAATTGTAAAGTCATTGATAATCAGGTTTTCAGAGCATTGAGAGAGACGTTAAACTGTTTTGACTATAATCTCTATCTTGAGATGCATTTCGATATGTGTTTAAAGTTTGAATGTTTTTCGGATAACATTTTTTACTATCAATAGCACACTTCTAGCACACTGTGCCTGTCCTATGTCAGTGCCCATACAATCCTAATTTTTATAGTCTTAGTGTTGTTATTCAGCATAATTTTGTGTGTTTAACGCACACCGACCGTTGCTCATAGAGATCCTATACTAAAGCCAATCCTCTATCTATGTTATCATTGCCATAATGTACCAGAAAAGTAATACAAGTAATTGATCGCATTTATGGCAAACTCTTCAACTAAAAAGTCTTAAAATAACGACTGTTTCAAAGCTAAAACAAGGAGCGGTTCCTATGCTTATAACAAGCTATGGCTWTGAAGGTGCAGTCGCTGCCAGTTATATCACACCCAAACTTTTGTGTACCTTTGCATCCCATAAAAAGTGGATACCAGTGCTACTATGGCATCAACTAAATCTCTCTCTTCTCTCTTCCGAACTGTTTATTATATTGTAGCTATCGGTGCAAAATATAGTACATATAGACAAACACACAATGATTACATGTATCGGACAAATTAGCATATTTGGAGTCAGTATGATATTAGAAACTTTGAAATCAGCAGTCATTAAGTCTGGACTCACTTTTAGTTGTGTTTTGTTTTGCAGGTTTATGTTTGACTAAAAAAATGTAAACCAAATATAAGATTAGTTTCATAGAGACCATCAAAGACTATAATTTTGTTTTTTCTATGATTTAATGCTTTTCACTGTTATATAACATTATAAGCTTCATTACAGTGAGTTATAAATTGGATATAAATTATATTACTATTATAAATAGCATACAATATTATAACAGAAAAAAGCAAATATAATACCATTTAAGATGAGATTTGTAATAAAGTGTCAAATGTTTGACACAATATTTGGGGGCCATATGACTGCTGCTACCTGTGCAGCGCCCTATGATATTGTAAGTACATGTGTGGCAATTCTATGTACTCTACTGTTTTATGAATTAACACAATATTATTTGTGTGTTACTCAAATTGATTGGTATTTGAAAGTCAATTATATACAGAGATAACTAATCTCTCTCTCTCTTTCTTTCTCTCTCTCTCTCTCTCTCTCTCTYTCTCTGGTTTCTGTTTTAGACCTCTCTGTGCTCTCAATAAAGGATAGTGTTTATGACAAGTGATTTTGATTCAATGGTCTCCAACTGTGGTCAATGTGTGCCTCTGCTGTGCGGAACTCCTTTGATCAGTATTTTCTATATTATATCTCATAAGTTATAACCTATTGCTATCTCCATGCTATCCAAAAGCTGAAAAAATGACTTTATATATATATATATGAATAAAGTTTATAAAAAAATATTGTATTTTTGGGGCACTTRAAAGGTTTTTAGGGTTTGGCACTACTGGTTGGGCGGTGGGCTATATATATATATATATATATAATATTGTGTATATAAACTTAAGTATATAATATATTATAAGAATATTATTGATATAATAAACAGTTTTTATTCTAATAGTGTAGACAACGTTATCTCTCTCTCTCTCTCTCTCTCTCTCTCTCTCTCTCTCTCTCTCTCTCTCTCTCTTAGTAATAACTTCTGTATTTCWAAGTAACTCTCCTACAATTTCTGGATTGTGTGCCTCCCTGTGCTCTATGGCATTGTTGTAGTGATAAGACGAGGTGGAGATGCGATAAGTTGATGAGTGGTATCRTTTGTGTGGAGGTCTGGGGTCTCTCTTTGAGCCAAATTGAGAGCTGAAATCTTTCATTAACTTCACTCAAGAGTTGTTATTTAGTTGTTGTCTCGAGTTTTAAGAGTTGTATAGTTTGGGTCATTATTTTTGGTGCACTATTTGAGTACAAGAATCACATGCAATACCACATTACAAGTGCTATGCGTTTGTTAAAAGCGAGAGCAAAGCCTATCATTTTGGCAGTCGATATGTTGCAGAGCTATCACTACTTGCGTGCAGACATTCAACAGCTAGTGGTCTGTATATACAGCACTGACAGTGCCATACATGCATAGGCTTTATCATACTATACTGTCTTTCTTATGTATCTTTAAATATAGTCCAGACATACATATCAGCTAAACATTGTTCTTGAAAAACCTCAAAATCATTCAAAGCTAAGAAAAAAATGCAAAAAAAAGATAAGAAATGAGTGAAAGATTGGAAAGAAAGTAAGATTTGAAAGACTAGTATTTAGTCTTCATTTCAAACGATAGGTCACTTAAAAACAATTTCCAGTGTTTTGACTGACTTTTCAACCATTGGTGTTGTCTGTCAAAAGTGTTGTGCATTCATGACTGTTATGAGCTATAGATATAATAGTGAGATATCACTAACAAAAATAAAGGGACAGACATACACATACACATACACATACACATACACATACACATACACATACACATACACATACACATACACATACACATACACATACACATACACATACACATACACATACACATACACATACACATACACATACACATACACATACACATACACATACACATACACATACACATACACATACACATACACATACACATACACATACACATACACATACACATACACATACACATACACATACACATACACATACACATACACATACACATACACATACACATACACATACACATACACATACACATACACATACACATACACATACACATACACATACACATACACATACACATACACACATTTAAATATACAGTATATATGTGAAAAAGTAAATGATTACTAATGAAATTTATGCTATATGATATTATTTTTAAGATATCATTCACACATAAAATTKTATAAGTAAAATACAGGTACATAARCAAAACATAAATAGCAAATAATAATAATAATAATAATAATAATAATAATAATAATWATTATTATTATTATTATTATCTTTTTTATTATTATTACAAGTTTGAAATCATTTAAAAGTTTAAAAACTAAATTAAGACTGTATTAGCCTTTAAGGCAATTACTATCTAATGGGCAGTCAGTCATCTTATCTGAAAAATCGTTGACTAAGAATAATGTCCACTATTTTAAGAAAAAATAAGTAAAAGAGAAAAATTGAGTTAAAAAGAAATCTTTTTATTTTTTATAAATAAAATACTATTATTTTACTGATAAAGCGTTTGATATACCGATAGAGCAAAGAAAGAAAGTTTGGTTTCCTCAACGACTCATTACTGGCACTAATAAAATATCAGACAATTACTAGTGATGTCTTCAAGTGTTGACTTATACCTAGAAATGCAAGAAAATCTTTAAATAAAATCAGATATAAAAAAGGTTTTAAACTATAAGCGATGCAATCGATGACTTCTTGTATTTTTGTTTTTGTTATTTAAAGTATAAAACGACAAAACATTTACTCAATTTAATGTTTACTATACTATGATATGCAATATAAGTTTAAATAGCAATAATAAACATAAATAAAACTATAGATAGAAAGAGACATAAAGTATAAAAACCTTTTTATAAAATAGAGAGAAAAAAAGATTTGAATTAATTTGGTTGTGAAATGACAATAATAATAACAAGTCTGTACCTGTATTTTAATGATAACACTTGACAAGTAAGCTGTACTGTGCCAGTGCTCAGTACTGTCAGTACCTGATATTTAGGAGTAACTTCAATGTAATTATTATTACCGTATCGTTAATAAGTCTGAGCGCCAATAATGAGCCATTAATTGCATGTATAATATAATCTGAATGTAAGTATAGAGAAATATCATGCAATCAATGTGACCATCAATAGTATGTCTCGAAAATTAATGGAAAAATCAGTAAAAGTTTTTGTTGTTTTCAAATTCTCTCTGAAAATAATTTTGATTTGATTTTTATGTAATATTTTTGCTGCTTTTCCCATACAGTCATACGGTTGTGTATTATATATAGAAATATATTATCGATGAATATATGCTTTATTAAGTAAATGCTTTAATAATTATTTAAAGTTAAGACACAAATGCATAATAAAAAATAAATGAAAAATTTCTTGAAATAATAATAAAGAAAATTAAATGAGGAAATATTGACTGCATTCCAATGGGACATACATTTATGTATATATATATATATAATACTATATATACTAAATTACATACATGAGCTCCAATATCGGTGCCAATGAATAACTGTCATTTGGAAAACAACTCTTTTTATTTAAACAACTCTTTTTCAGTGACTTTTAATAATTACTAATTATATATGATTTCTAAGTTTAGCACTAATAAAAAGTTGTTGTTTTACTTGTAATTTCATATAAATTCAATTCAATGCTAACTTGTAATCGCTTTTGTGATAATTATTAGATGCCTCTCGACATAAATGTTCAAAATATATTGATAGGTAACATGTATTAGTAGTGAGAGCACATACAGTACATGTAGCTCACAAAGCATACTTGTATTGATATATATGGAAAGCCATCCCACGATAGGTTTAATCAAAAATATGTTTGAGTCCACACCCAAATCGGTTTGTGATCGCAAAGCGTATCGATTTTAGTCTCATTTTTCTTTTGGCATAAAATATCTCGTTTTATATGAAATGCACGAAATTTGAAGGCAAGGAAAGGCTTTTCGCCAAATTATAACCAATATTACAGACATTACAGACTATGAGATTGAGAAACAAGAAAAATGAGAAACTCTATCGAAACACTAAATTATTTTCAATATTATCGACCAAATAAATAGTTTACTCAATAAATTTTGCTAATAAAATATATAATAATGCCTCTCACTATCTTTATRTATATAAAACTAAAAGTTTGTCTTAATTTTTACGTTGTTTCTCACAGAAAAATTTCCTTGAAATTTATGCTTTAATTTATTATTCAATATATTTTTTCATCATTTCTCTTTATATCACACATCATGTCATGTATACACTTATTGCTAATTATTAAATATATAATTTTTCTAAATATTTTACTTATTTATTATTATTATTATAAATATTAAAATATAATCATTTTTACTATGCTAATTATTTGTATTTCATAAGTTGACATATTTTTATATTCTATAAAAATATAATTATTAATATTATAAATTTATATCTAATATATTATTAAAAACTTATTTATCCTATTTATTATATGTTATATTATTATAAATTAAATATATTTATAAATTAAATTTGAAAAGACAATCAAATTATTTAGACGAGTGCTTTGCCCATAATATGGCAATCGATATGATATAATATGATTGAAAAAAAAATCTTTTTGAAAGATGGGTTCACCCTTTTTAGTAGGTGTGCACTACTCTGTACTATATTCAGTGCCTCCGGGGCGAGGGGTGGTCAGTAGTTTGATGCACAGAAGCAACATATATGAGCTTTAAATATTTACATCGATATATACCTGTAATATATATATATATATATATATATATATATATATATATATATATATTGGAAACTAAACCGTGATTTGAATTAAAGGTCAATTAAAGTTTTCAATATAGTTAGACGTTTGACAGTTTGATCACGCAATCCAAACATCTAATAAGTATTTCTTATCCTAAGCTACCTGTGCTGAACTGCCCTTTTCTTTCTCTTAACACTGATATTCCAATTAAATGACTAAATGTTTGCCTAAACTAACATTTGTGGCATTTTTTGTTATTCAATTTTTCTGGTCTTTGACTTTAAAACTTATTTATGCAGACAATACATATATTTAATAAATATATTAATAATGGTCTCAAAACTATGGTCATCACATACACATTATATATTAATAATAAAATTCATAAAACATTTTTGCTGATGTTTAATATTAATATAACCGTAATATAAAAAATGTAGCCCTAAGAAAAGGAAAGAGAGCTCAATGTGTGATAAAATAAGATAAACATTAAGTTAGACTAAAAATGAGACGTCAGACTGTTATTAAATACAATTATTTCTAAAATTAAAGTTAACACTTGTTTTGAATTTTAAATTTTAAAAATAACCACAAAATAATAAAAAACACGACATTTTGTAAGAGATAATCGATGTATAGTGTATTTCACGACAATAATGCATATGAAATAGTCATCTAATTTTATTGTCAGAATCCCAATCCTTATGTGTAATATCAATGAGACAGARAAGTGCACGAAATGACATAAATGCACACAAGAAAACTACCAGCCCTTAGGCTAATATAGTTGTGAGTGAGTGTATGTGTGTGTATGTGTGTGTATGTGTGTGTATGTGTGTGTGTGTATGTGTGTGTATTATAAATTATCTTTCTCTATCACTTGACATTCTCTCTCTCTCTCTTTTTCTCTTTTTTTTTCTCTCTCTCTATTACACACACACACACACACACACACACACACACACACACACACACACACACACACACAWATAATAACATTAGCAATAGAGTACACAACAATTTCTACTATTTTGTTATACGATTTTTTCTCATATCACAGTCCCTTACAGTATATCTCTGTTTCTTTCTCATCATTTTTAGTATCTCAGGTGTGCTCTTAATACAGGAGCGCACACAACACAGCACAACATATAAACAGTAGTGAGTTATTCACCTTTGATTTAGGACCAGTAATTGGACGGATAGTTATGTTTGGGGAGCCCTTGGAGGCAATTGTGATACTTTTATTGTGTATTAAAAGATGTATTACATAAAAGTTTGTTGCATGACTTGGTAACACCATCTCAACTAAAACACTGTTTTCATTTAATAACCTAACCTTTACTCCCTATCAACCTGTCTATCCCTCCTTTTATTCATTGAATAATGTAGTTCACAGGTAAGGGCTAACACACTAGTGTTCACTTAAACACATTAATCACAAGTAGAGCATCGCTTAATCCACGACAAGAATAATAAAGAGCTAAAGAAAATTACTTTATGTTTGTTACCGAAATAAAACTCAAGTCGTCTATTGTATTAAACTACAAATATATACATAACATATATTACATAATATTGTATAATAAAGAGAGAGAGAGAGAGAGAGAGAGAGAGACCAAAATAATTATTGTAGTTTATTGCAAGCTCTGAGAAATATTAAATGTGTTTTTATTTAAATAAATTACTTCTCACACAATACATTGTTCACTAATCACAGCAAAACATCACATCATTTAATTTTTTAAGAAACACACAATAAACTGTACAAAACACTTACCATTTAAATGATATGTAATATTCAGGTAATGTCTGAGCTATTATTTTAATTTTTGTGTGCCTTTTGTTAGTTTCATTTGATTGCAAACATAAAGTCACTGTTTATTACATTATCTAATTAATGAGTCGTCACTGTTATCTCTCATATAAATCTCATCACAAAAATTATTTGTTTCACTGCATCCACACATCATTGACGCTAAAACACACAGAAAAATAAATATCTCTAAAATATTTTTCTTCCCTTTTGCTAACATTTCTAATGAAGCAAAATATGAGTAAACTTTAAAAAATAATAATCTAATTATTTTGATAGTCTTTGAAAGGAAAATAAAATTAAATGCAAAGTAATAAAAAAAGAAAGATTTTTTATATACAATTAGTTCTAATATACTTTAAAAATATATTTATTTAATAATGTGTTTTGATTTAAATCCATAGGTGAAACCACACGCCTGTCAGCTCTGTAGCAAAAGTTTGTAAGTATTAAAATATTTAAACTGTTTTTTTGCTTAAAATTAAATTTGTATATATAATTCAAAATTATCATTAATTAATGTTTATGCTTAAATGACCTTTATATAAATATACATTGATATATACTATATATATATATATATATATATAATGTATGCATATTGCTATAAATACGACATATATGTTATTATGATATAAAAATGTTTTTTAAAAATGCAATTTTATTAGATTATGAATTTTAGAAAAAATCATAAAAAATCATATAATATAATTTTTGATTAAAAAATATTATARCTATTAAATATGATATATATTGTTATTGGTTGACAAACTTGTATATACTATAAATTCAAATCTATTTTTGTCTTTTTCTATTAAATCACATATTAATGGATCCGCTTTTAATTTTTTAATTATTTTTGTTTATTTTTTAATGTTTTAGTCCAACTCCGGGTGATTTGAAAAGTCATATGTAAGTATAGTTCATTTACTATTGAATATATGCTATGATTCACATATATATTAAGTATAAATACAAAACTTATTTAAGTTTAAAGAACTTCTCATATATTTTAGTGGTAATCAAGAAGAATAAAAAAGAAATGATTAAATTTTAAGTTTATTTTAGTCTTAGATTTTATTATTTGTTTTGTTTTATGGGAAAAGAGTTTTATGGCATATGAACTGAAAATATTTCATTTAAAAACAAAATTATAAATTTTTATTTACTATTATTTATATTTTTAAAACCGATTTATATGAATCAGATTTCAATCTTTTTTATGATTGACGAGTTAAACATTATTCGCACAATTAATTCAATATTAATTTACATAAAAATTAAATACACAATGTATTAAACATAGATAAATACATATATGTTTTTTTTGTCAAAACTATCAATTAATACGACTGTCTAATCTATTAGGTATGTTCACAACGGCTCCTGGCCTTTCAAATGTAAAATATGTAATCGCGGTTTCAGCAAACAGACTAACCTTAGAAATCATGTGAGTAAATGACTTATTTTTGTTTACCATTTCTGTCTTCTATTTGTCTGTTCATCTGTCTGTCTATATCTTTGAAACTTTCAATTTATTCATTAAAATCCCTTTTTCTCAATGAATAAGATATTTAAATATATTAATTGTTATCATAAAGACTAATGAACTGTATTTTGTTTTGTTTTTATGTGTCTCCGTCTCCCTGACCACAGATGTACTTACATTCCGGTTAGTATTCATTATATAATAATTTTAATTAAGTTTAAAAATATTAATTACATTTATATTTTTAAATGACAAAAAATAGTTATTATATTTATATTTAAATGGTGTGATAAGCACTTATAATAAAATAATTTTTCATTTGAAAAACCAACATTAAATATAGGACAAACAATAATAAATACATAGGAATAACAATATAATATGATTTAAATTAATTTAAAGTCACATTTGATGTTATATTATATAATTATCATTGCATTTATCATAGTATATTAGTAATGCATCTATGATTGTAAAGTACAGCATAAATATATATATAAGCAATAGAGGAGAAAGGTTTTATGCATATATAATAAAAGATAAATGCATTTATTATTATACATTGTTTTAATAACTGCAAACTATTACAACTAATATTTACTACTCGTTGTATACATACTGTAGAAAGTAATGTTATTAATATAATATACCAGTAGCTCATACCTACCTGTAGAGCACATATGATTTGAGACTAATTTTTCAAACTAACAGTTAAGACCTGATAAGAATACTAATAGCAGAGCATATAATTCAAGCGCAAAGAACCGAAAAAAAATGTTTTTTTTAATATATAATTTAATGTTAAGTGAAATTTTGGTATTTTGTTGAAAAATAACATTTTTTAAGTATAAAATTTATAAAAAAAAACTAGTGAATTATACTGTACTTAAAAAACATTTAGCAGTTACCTAAATAGTAGTGCTAAATGGCTAAATGTCAGATTATACATCCCATTTACTATGGGTTTTTGGTATGTATGGTGTATATGCCATGTGCTCCCACACAAAATCATTGCCTAAATTATATTATGTCAGTAAATATGGTCATAGATTAAAGATTATAATCTATTAAATGAGATGAAAATCATTATAAAAGGTACGGCATTAACAAAGTATTTAACACTTAGTTATAACATTTATTATTATGTTTAAGTATGTTGAGACAAAACAACAATAAAAATATTATTTAATGATATTTGCACCCTATTTTCTAAATAACAAATATATATGACATATAGCCTAACAATAATTTTTTTAAATAATAATTATTATAATACTATTGTAGTTAAATATATATAAAAAGTAATTTAAAATAATTTAATTGAATGTATGATTTAGGCGATCGACCGCATGAGTGCGAGATTTGCCAAAAGAGGTTTGCATTGGCCTGTAATCTGAGGGCTCACCTCAAGACACACGAAGAGCCCCAAAACGAGAAGTGTTTGCGCTGTTCGCGGGAATTCCCGACGGCCACCGGTCTCGTGACCTTTGGATGCTGTCATGAGTGCTATCATAATAGTCACGGAATACCACTTTTGAGAAGAAAAAGTTAAAAACCAAAGATCTGGTTGTCATATATTTTGAATCAATCAAATCATATGTATTTCAACACACATTTCAATACAAGTAACGTTATTAAACATAATTATATTAATCTCATAATTTAATATTTTTAAAAATAACTATTTTGATAAACGTTATAAATGTATTATTTTTATATATAATATTATTAATATTACTACCATTAATACTCATCTCATATAATTATTTTTATCATTATTATATATATGTTGAGACACTATTAACAAATTCACAATACAAATAATAATCTACTTATATATAAATATTACTGTAATATATATATATTTTTATAAATATAAAAATAAATAATAAGCAGTTAAAAACAAAAACAAAATAATTTTCAAAAATTTATATTAATTAATATTGTAATATAAAAACACAYAAATCTTTTATAAAGTATAGTACAATTTTAACCGAATATTCAATTATATATTAAAAATTATAAAATATATTTTAGAGTAGTTGTAAGATATATTAAGATCTTTAATAATAYCAGAGAATTATTGCTCAAAAATTATATATATATATTCACAGTCAGTGGTATATAGACTGTTGTATATATCAAACATTAATCCACTTATTATATCACTTTTTTATCAATCCCTTTACGTTTTGTGTAAAGTTATATACATATATAGTAAAAAATATAATTTTTTATATTAAAAATAATTATAGAAATTCTCACCATTAGTGTAGCGGTTGGAGACTCTAATATTTTTTTAATACACTATTTCTGCTATCATTTAATTTTCTCAATTTATTGCACTACAYATATAGTATAATGTAATTTTCGGTCTCTATTTATCTCATGACTTACCAGTAAAGTAAAGTGCTTTTTGAAACAGATAGAGAAAGAAACACTAAAATGTAAAATCCTGACAATAAAACCATTAAATGTTTTGTTAGCATGAAATCAAAATTTTATGTAACAATTGTAATAATGAAGCAAAACAATAAAGTGATTTGAAAATTTAAAATAATTATTGTGTTTTATATTCACTATACTCTACATTACTATATTACAAGTATAAGTAATATAGCGGTTAAAATGAGAGAGAGAGAGAGAGAGAGAGAGAGAATGCGATAATATACAGTAAAGTTTTGTTTTATATGGGTTTTAAAATTGTAAAGCAAAGTAATTTTAATACATTGTTTTCATTTGGTTGTCTATCTTTATTTTATTTGTTATACAATGTTAAACTTGCAAACATCTCTCTCTCTCTCTCTCTCTCTCTCTCTCTCTCTCTCTCTCTCTCTCTCTCTRCAAAAGCCTGCGTTTATAATTATATACCTGTTCTTTGAAAAAATTATTGCATTTAAAGCTAATGTTACAGTAATTTATTTGTTAAGAAAACTATTTTGCACTCATATGTTACAAGTGTTATGCAATTCAAAATACAATACAATATAAATATCATATTATAAGACTTTTATTATGCTATATAACAAAAGTCTATAAACTTCAACAAAGTCTCTCTCTCTCTCTCTCGTTAACTGAATCTCTRGTCTTTATAAACAATAGTTTTTTCTAAACAGTATAAACAGTAATAATAATTTTTATGTTATTCACTGTTTTGATTGCAGTTTCTTTAATTCCTATATAATTATTGTTGTATTTCTCTTTCTTTCACATCAATCCTATCCTATAGTTATAATAATCTGAAAATACACGACAATATTTAAACACTATTGTTAGTCATTTGCTGAAATAAATATTAATATAACAAATATATTATTACATCAAATGAAATGAATTTTTATTATTATTATTCTTGTTTTATTATATATATATATATGTATATACTTTGCATTTTTTCTTAGCACACAATTATTTATAATGAAAAATAGCAACAGTAATTGAATGTTATTTTTAATGGATAATATGCGAATATATAACTTTATATATAGTATTATATAATATACTATAAATGCAATATTTCTTAGTTTACTTAAGGTATGATAACTCATTAAATAGATTTAAGAAATCAATTGAAAAATCATGAAATATATATTAAAAAACAATTTTGTTAAAATAAAACTAAAAATTCGTTTATAAAAACAATTTGTTTATTTAGAAAATCTATTCTTAAGTAAACTAATCATGTGTTTGTGTTATTTTATTGATAAAAAATATATTATATTTATACTAATTGCCAGATCATAAATATATTTATATGTATATTCACTATATATATATTACAGTATACACTTTTATGCATTCATATAAATATATAGATATTCTATTATAGTAAAAAGTCAATAAATATATTTAATGTTTAATAACATTAAATATATTTATTGACTTTTTACTATATTTTAAATTTAATAAATTTACTGTAATATATATATAATATCATGTATAAACAAATTTATTATTARATAATTTACTTATTCAAATAACACAAACTTTTAAGTTATGTACGGATCAATGCATTTGATTATAATATCTTACAATTTTTATTACTMTTTACATCAGAAAATATTTTTATTAATTTTTAAATTAAATACTGTAATAATATATTTATAACATTACAATTATTTAAAATAAATTAATGAAGTAACAATAAATATTTATCTAATTAATTTAAAATTTAAATGCTAAATGATTTAATGAAATATATAAATATCAATATATGTTATATATTTAATTGAATCAAATTTCAAGTTCAAGCGCTCCTTTGTTTCTACTCTTTCCTGTCTTTGAAGGATTTTTGTTATGAATTACAGGTTTATAACCGTAAAGTATATCTTAAAGAAATAAAATTAAATATTTTTTATTTAAAAGTATTTTTATCTTTACATATTTTTTTCAATTTCACAAACACACAAATATACAACAATACAGTATATTAAAGTTTAATAATAGTAAATACAGTATTATAGTTATAGTTGCTTTAGAAAAACTTAATGAATTTTAACATTAAAACTATTAAAAAACATTTGTCGACAAATCTTTTTTATAGTATTAATAATACAGTACACTATTTTCTAATTCAAAATTTCAAATATATTATTAAGAGTCACAACATTTGCAACAATTAAGTGGCAATTTCTCTTATAGTAGCAATAGTTAACTATATTATTGCAAATATTTAATAACAATTTTTCACAATGACCTCGATTACAATATCTATATATTAATAAAGTATATTAATTTATTAGTTAATACAAACAGTATATGTTTTTTATAACTTAGTAAAAATGTATATTATATATATTGGGTGCTGTGTTCTGCACTTTTAGCTCGAAGGCTTAATCAATTAAATGCTATATTACTCCCAGTTTTGTCAATCATAGAGACAGGCATTTTCCGGCTCATATGATATAGCATTTAGTTAGTTAGTCAATAGTGAAGCACAGTTAGTTGTTTGTCACATCGACATTAACTCCCGATTTGATAGGTATTATATACAATGATAATGAAAGGACAACTAATAGAGAGTAGAAATGGAGGTAAAGAGGCGACGATAATTGAAAATATTGAGGCATTATATATATGACTCTATTTTATACATTATTTTTAAGTTTTATTTTTACTATCTTTACGGCATTATTGATATTTCACTTAAGATTTGTATATAATTATGATATGACTGTCGACTCAACACGAGATAAGTTTTAATAACTTTTAATTGAGTTGCCGCTCAACAAATGATACGCTCATCACAAATAAGGCACAAACATAAGGACTACTGGTGCGACTTTGACTTATCTATGTCCCATACCATCCAATAACAAAAATTTGCGATATTATGCAAGTGTTTGACAAAATAAAGAAACTATTTTTTTATTATAGACGCCGAGTGCACACCAGAAAAATGAATAGTTTTTAATGACAGGTCTCTCACACAAACAGAGATTTTTTAAATAGAAAATATCATTTTATAACTACAAATAATAAAAGATTCTTACGCTTCACTGCCGGTGTTTATGTGTGTGATTACCTGTGCTATGGGTTATCCATATATTGGTAGACGACAAGCAAAAGGTGAGCTCACAGACAGATATTACAATTACAAGAGAGGGAAGAGATAGAGAAAACGTGCCGACACTTCATGTGCTTATTCTTAGGACTGACTCTTTTGTTTCATTGATTCTCACGTTTACATTGAAAAAATAGTAATTTAATTTAGATTTTTCTTTCAAAATCTCAAAATATATCATATATAATGTATATTATATTCAATTATTGTATTTTATTTTGTTTTTCCACAAAATTTTATGGCACAATCCAATATAAAATGGATATATATTGCTATAAATGGTCTGTTATATACATCAATATATTGAAAATATATTATAGTAATATATGTACCATAATATTATTTTATAATAAAGTACTATATTATACATATGAGTACAAATAAATTTTACTTAATTTTTCCTAATATTAAGTTATGATTTTTAAAATATAATAAAAATAACAATTAAAGTTTATTATAAGCAATACTTGTATTGATAATATACTGTACTATATTATTATACTTTTGCATAAAACATTTGTTTTTCTATATATATATATACAAGGAATATATACTGTATATATAATTTGATACACATATATAATGTTATATAAATTAAAGAGAAATGAAATAATATATGAAATAATTGACATCCAATGGGAGCGCCGGTAATCATCAGACAAAGCAGTCGTTTCTATTTCTGTCACACAATTGTTAAGCCATGGGCTATAATATGAGAGAAATATAATGTTTATATTTATTCATAAATTTCTCTCTCAAAGCCCCTAAACTGTATCTTTGCTGATGAGTAGTAGTTATCTCATCGACTCTGCTGTAAAAAATAAGTTTGCCTTCACTGATACTATACCTCTTCAACAGTTAAATATATGATTTGATAGTTTATATGTATAGATATATGCCTCAAACCATAAAGCTTTGAATGTATGGCAGCAATAATACTCATAGCAATCATAATTCATAGCTATATATTAAATGTATATATATTTATG